CGGCCGGAAGGGGGATGAGATATTAGCATTTACGGTCACTTTGCCGTCGTGTCGGGTCGGCAGTGTGTCCGCGGGTGCGATGATCAGCGCGCGCGGGTCAGCCGTACCTCGTGAGAGGGGCGCGCACTAGTCGTAGGTGTGCTGCGCCAGCTCGGCCAGCATGGTGGACGACGCGCCCCACGGCTTGTTGCTGCACGCCTCTGCAATCTTCTTTTCGAGCTCTGTGCCCGTGGCCTTCACCCTGCGCGGCAGCCAGGCGGGAGTGGAGGGCAGGAGAGTAGGAGCGCGCGACATGACTAGCGGCGGTGCGGCGGCGCACATGGCCTCCTTGGCCACCCTCTTGGCCATGTCCAACATGGTTGGTGTGTTTCTGCGGCGGCGGGAGCGCAGGGTTTTCAGAGCGCGGTCAGCAGTCTCCGGAGTTGGGTGGCGGCCTCCACGAGACTGGCGGCCTGATCCGCCTCTGTGGTGCGGCGCTGCGGGCTTATCGTGGCCAGGCCAGGCCGGCTAGCAACAGAGGATGCATCTGAAGGACGCAGATTTTGGAGGCGGAGCGTGTGCTGCGCACAGAGGCGCTGCCAACTCGCGCTCTCGCCGTCGAACCGGGACGATTGTGTGCGGACCGGGGCAGCGGGGAAGCAGAAAAGAGGGCGGGAGGAGGGCGCGCCTGGTGGCGAAATAGCCCTTTCGAGAGGAGCTGTTCGGCACGCTGTGTGTGTGGCGTGCAAAGTGAGCCGTGAGTAAAAGAAATCGTACAGCCCAGCAAGTAATGCTTTGGAATCTATGTGTGGACATGACCTCGAGTGGAGCCCCAGTCCTCGACAGGCGCTCTGATGAGGTCGTCTCTCACAGCATGGAAAGGAGTGCCGAGAAGACCGTGGTGGAGGGGAGGGACAGGAGAACGGGACGAGGGCGAGGAGGACGAGCGGCAGCTCCAAGCAACAACTGAGATACAAAACGTCCTCCAGCCTCGTACACGTTGACGCCATTCCCATTGATTGGGCTGCTGCATGCTAATCTACGCTTGCATGCAGCCACAGCCCCGGCTCTCTCGCTATGACCCCGATTTGGCCGCGGCAGAGAAGGATCGGCGAGGTCTGTCCATCTCGGATAGCCTTTCAAACGGGAACGCCCTCTCGCTGCGCTCTACCTTGCGTTCCCACGACGAAGGGGACCCCTGGAAATTTCCGGAAACGAGAACTGTTGCTGAAGGGGACGCTTCTTTCTGTATTCTGATTGCCGGGAACTCTCGTACAGGGCCAAGACGAACCTTCATCTTTGACAGGCCCCTCCTTCATGGATGCAAAATAACCGAACACGGGCTCCAAAGTGTGTGTGTGGGCGGGGGCGGGGGGGGGGAGGGGGGGTCGTGTCACGGTTTTGGACGCACGCCCCCGCGCAGAGGCGCTGCCAACTCGCGCTCTCGCCGTCGAACCGGGACGATTGTGTGCGGACCGGGGCAGCGGGGAAGCAGAAAAGAGGGCGGGAGGAGGGCGCGCCTGGTGGCGAAATAGCCCTTTCGAGAGGAGCTGTTCGGCACGCTGTGTGTGTGGCGTGCAAAGTGAGCCGTGAGTAAAAGAAATCGTACAGCCCAGCAAGTAATGCTTTGGAATCTATGTGTGGACATGACCTCGAGTGGAGCCCCAGTCCTCGACAGGCGCTCTGATGAGGTCGTCTCTCACAGCATGGAAAGGAGTGCCGAGAAGACCGTGGTGGAGGGGAGGGACAGGAGAACGGGACGAGGGCGAGGAGGACGAGCGGCAGCACCAAGCAACTGAGATATAAAACGTCCTCCAGCCTCGTACACGTTGACGCCATTCCCATTGATTGGGCTGCTGCATGCTAATCTACGCTTGCATGCAGCCACAGCCCCGGCTCTCTCGCTAAGACCCCCGACGCCCTGTGGCCCGCGCCAATTTAAGCGATGGCGGGCGTCAGCAGCACAGCAGGGTCGCAGCAGACAGTCCGAGCTGGGGGGGGGGGGGGGGCAGCGGGAGGCGCGGCGCAGGCCGAGCCCCTCCGGCAGGCCGGAGCCGCGGCGACGGGGCGTGCGGGGCGACGAGAGGCGGCAGCGCGTACTTAGCTAGGATAGGCGCACGAGCACGATGCCAAAAGGAGAAAAAGCGCTCAGCGCGGGCCTGCAGTGGGCGCCTTGGCATGCATCTTTACTTTTTGCCGCATGACTGAAGCTGGACTCGTAAAAGTGATAGAAGAGCCCCGGGCGCCCACCCAAAGAGAGGAGACGGGGGCGTCCACCGAGAGTATGACCCCGATTTGGCCGCGGCATGGCTCCGGCTGGCTCCGCCGGCGGCATCGACATCGATCTTGGGTAATGGCTAATGCGGGAGCTGCGAAAACGATGGCGCGACTGCGAAAGCTGAATCTTGCGACATCACTTACTGGGCGTGGATCATGTAAAACCCGTGGGTGAAAATTGTTAAATAATTTTAGCACGACGAAACTGATGAAAGAAAAACAAATATAAAAGAATGTTTTGCATCGATCTCTCTCCCTCTTCTCTCTCTCTGACTCTCTCTCTCTCTCTCTCTCCCTCTCTCTCTCTCTCTCTCTCTCTCTCTCTCTCTCTCTCAACATGTGCATGTGCATGTGCTAAGTCCTTAGATTGGAGAGGCCCTGGGGAGAGAATGCAGAAAGAAAGAAGAAAGTTAAAACCCAAAGGAGGAAAGGGAGGACGTATGCGGCCGACTTCCCTGTGCCATTTGTAGTGCCAGTCCGAGCCAGTCTGCTGTGAGAGGGGGGTGCTAAAATTCTTTTTCAGCAGCCGGAAGCGGCATGAGCTCGCCGGCGCCGGCGCTGGAGGCTCCTCCTGCACGATCCGTGCTGCACGTCCCAACGTCCGATCCTTGCCGGATGGTTCTCGAGCGATGCGACCTACGGAGCCTGCGGCGGCTGCACGGCGTCAATGTCGCTCTCAAGGATGCGGTCGAGCAGTGCGTCGAGTCCCGAGCGTGGCGAGAAGCGGAGCACCTCTTCGCGGTCCCGAGCACCACAGACAGCACCTCCTCTGAGGCGTGGCGAAAGGTCTTCCAGGTCTCTGGCGGGCTTCCTGGCCCGGGGCGACCGAGCCCCTTCATGGTCTTCTGCCAGGAGCGGCGTCGCGAGATCATCCGAACGAATCCGAGCATGGGCTTCAGAGACATTGGACGTGCCCTCGGCGCCGCGTGGGCCGGGTTCTCGGACGAGCAAAAACGCAGCTACTGCGTTGGCCTCTCGTCGGCCGGAGAGGCGCAGAGAAAGTGCAGCGGCGCGCGCCAACTCTCATTCCTCAATGCCTACCACACTCTGGTGGCAGACGCCAAACGAGTTGCGCGGGCGGAAAGGTGGGCTGGCGAGTTTGGAGCGCTTGCCGCAGACAGCAATGCCCCGCTCGTGTACCTGGAGCAGCTCCGCATGAAGCTCTCGCACGCGCACCTGCGAGACATTCGTCGCACGCTGGACGAATACGACTCAGAAGAGGACGAGGACGAGGAGGACGAGGACGAGGACGAGGACGAGGACGAGGACGAGGACGAGGAGGAGGAGGAGGACGACGACGACGACGAGGACGAAGACGAGGACCTCGATGAGGACGTGGACGTCGAGGACGACGAGGTGGACTGCATGGGCGCTCAGCGGTGAGGGTACATTTCAGCTCTTCAAGGCCAAGGGGATACGTTTTGTGGCGCGCGCAACCAAGAGGAGGGCTCCCGTTCGAAAGGCTCTGCTCCGATGGACAGACCTCGCCGATCCTTTTCTGCCGCGGGCGCGGCCAAATCGGGGTCATACTCTCGGTGGACGCCCCCGTCTTTTGGGTGGGCGCCCGGGGCTCTTCTATCACTTTTACGAGTCCAGCTTCAGTCATGCGGCAAAAAGTAAAGAGGCATGCCAAGGCGCCCACTGCCGGCCCGCGCTGAGCGCTTTTTCTCCTTTTGGCATCGTGCTCGTGCGCCTATCCTAGCTAAGTACGCGCTGCCGCCTCTCGTCGCCCCGCACGCCCCGTCGCCGCGGCTCCGGCCTGCCGGAGGGGCTCGGCCTGCGCCGCGCCTCCCGCTGCACGCGCGCCGGGCCGGGCTGTCCCCCGGACCCCTTCCGACGCTGGGCTCGCCGCAGCGGTCCGGCCATGCGGGCTGTGTGCAGCAGCTCTTCCCGGCTCGGCCCCCGCGGCCAGCGGCGCCGTTCCGACCCGGCCCCCCGCCCACGACAGGCTGCGGTGGTCATGTTTGCCGCCAAGAAGATTGTCAAGGAGAAGGATGTGCCGCCCGAGCCGTTTGAGATGGACGTCGCACAGGCGCTGTGCGACCTGGAGGCCAACTCGAACGACCTCAAGGCGGAGCTGCGGGAGCTGTACATCGTGTCTGCCAAGGAGGTCGACGTGACCGGCCGCA